GCAGTTGGTGGCTGCCCGATCCCTGGCACCATCCGAGGGGAGGTTGGCCGGTGCTCTGAGCACCCTGCTCTAGCTGGGGAGGTCCCTGTCCCTGCAGGGGTTGGACTAGATGACCTGTAAAGGTCCCTCCCAACCAAACCACTCTCTGATTCTGTGACCCTAAGAAAGGAGAGCTGGCTTGCCCACAGCTGAGGACCAGGGCAGAGCTGCTGTCCCTGCCAGGCCCCTTCAGGCTCTCTCCAGAGGTGCCCTTGGCCGGGCACTGCCCCTGTGCCAGCGCTGGCACGCTGAGGCCCAGCTGGGGAGGTGCCCAGCTGCCAGCCCAGCTGCCCAGCCCCACCCCAGCCCTGGCAGCACAGGGCAGCTGTGCTGGCCCAGCACACTCCAGCTGCAGGAAGGTTTTTTCTCCTACTGAACCCCTGGGCTGGGCCTGTTTCCTGCAGCGTGCAGCCTGCAGGAGGCCCAGCAGCCACAGGGACGTGGGGGCTTTGCCCTTCCCACTGTCAGGTGGAGGTGGAGGTCAGCCCCAGAAAGCCCCAAGAAGAGGGGTTCAAACCCAAACTGGTCTCAAGTGCTTTATAGCTTTTGAGCTTCCTAAGCAAGACATGCTCTGGGTCAAGCCCTGTTCCCTTCCAGCTCTAGATGGAGGTCCCAAACAACCAACAACAGCTTCTTGGATGACTCCTGTGAGCCTCAGCAGCTCCTGGGTGCCCACGGGCTCAATCCTTCAGCAGGCCCAAGAGGAGCTGGAAGGTGCCATCCCAGTGCTCCCGAGGGATCTCTGCCCTACACACGATTTCAGGCCTCTCCTGGACACCCACAAGGCAGTGGTGACACCACATCTCAAGGCTGAAGCCCTCCACAACACTGCTGCACCCCCACCTGGGCAGCCTGGGACCCTCCTCTTGCACCCAGCATTGCTCCCCAGCCTCTCCTGCCTCACCCAGCTCTCAGCTACACGGCTGCCATGGAACAGGAGACAGAGGCTCAAACCTGCCACTGCTTTGGGCTGGACACTCAGTCCAGGTCACAAGCCCAGTTTAAGTGGGCCAAGATCAAGGAACTCTTCTCCAAGCTGCCTACAGCTTTGGGAGCTGCCTGCCTTTGCCCTCCCGGGCTGTACTGCTGCAGGACCAAGCTCCAGGAAAGCAAGGCTGGCCTTGTGCAACCGTCTGGCCTCAGGGAAGTCCCCTGCCTGGAAGCAGCTCCTCTGGCTCCCCACAGGCCATGAGATGCAGGGGGTGGGAGAGGCAGGAGGTGCCAGGGCAGGCAGGTGTGCACCATACACGCAGCACACATGAAGTCCAAGCTGCTCAGACTCATCTGCCCCAGAAGAGAAGAGCCAGGGCCCCTCCACAGGCCCCTGCCAGGGTGACCACTGCCCCTCGCACACCCCACTCCCACTGGGGCACAGCAGCTGCTGCCCTTCAGTCAGAAGTTCCTTCTTCATCTGCTCAGCCCTTGCCACCACTTTGTTCAGCCACGGGTCAAGCCTGGGAACAACCAAACCACCTTCAGGGCAGTGCCTGGGGGGTGGGACGGGACCCCCTGCAGCAACCAGGGCACTTCAGGAGCCTCCTGTGCCAAAACCCCAGCAGCCTGAGTGAAACCACACCTGGCTCAGCACACACAGGCAGCAAATCAAGGCTGAGTGTGCCTGCAGTGCCCCGGGCTGAGGCACAGCCTTACCTATCTGGTGTGGGGAGTAGGTGAGGCATCCCGTGGTGAAGATCAAGTACTTCATCTTGCTGCTGCTGTCCGTGGGGAGCAGGTTCAGCTCGGGGGGTTTAGTTCTGTTGCGTACAAAGAGCTCGGCCACCTTTGTCTCCAGCTGTGCCTCAGTGAGGGCAGGCCTGACACAGCCCTCCAGGAGGTCATCAAAGAGCTGCTGCAGCCCCTCCTCCGTGCTCACCCCCCCGCCCGCCAGCCGCTCCTGCACTGCTGCCTCCCCGCTCTGCCTGGGCTTGGCCTCCTCTTCCTCGCTGTCACTGCCGAGCTCCAGGAGGGGGCAGGAGGAGGAGGAGGAGGAGGCAGCCAGCTGCTCCTGGTAGTCCAGCAGCAGGTCGGGGCAGTCGTAGCGGCTGCGGCGGGGCCGCCACACTCGCCCACCAGCCCCGTGCGGTGGGTGCTGGCGTTCAGGTTCTGGATCTTGACCAGCCTCTTCACCACGTTCACGTTCTCGGACTCGATGCCCTGCAGAGGGAAGGCAGAAGTAAGCAGGAACCCCCCTGCTGGAGGGTCACTCCTGCAGCTCCAAGCACAGGCTGTCTGCCCAGGCCTTGAGCCACACGCTGAGCTGCCTGGGCACAGGGAGGCTGGGCAGCCTCCTGCCCCTGCCTCTGCGAGGGTTCCAGGACCAGCTCTCTGAAGTGTGAAGTCCCATCCCAGCCCGCAGGCAGCAGGGGAGGAGCAGAGCCAAGCTCCTGGAGCCTGCCTGCAGCCCTCTGGTTATCTGCTCCCAGACACAAGCAGCAGATCTCCTCCCACCCGACTGCTCTGCCAGCCTGTGCCTGCACCTCAGGCTGCAGCAAAGGAGGCACAGGATCAGAAAGAGCTTGAGGGGCTGGGTCCAGAGAAGGGCAGTGAAGCTGGGGAGGGGTCTGGGGGACATGGCTTGTGGGGGGCAGCTGGGGGGTCTGGGGGGGTGGGGGTGTTGAGCCTGGAGAGCAGGAGGCTGAGGGGAAACCTTCTGGCTCTCTACAGCTCCCTGACAGGAGGCTGGAGTGAGGTTGGTGTTGGTCTCTTCTCTCATGGGACCAGCAATAGGACAAGAGGCAATGGGCTGAAAAACCCCAGGGGAGGTTTTGATTGGATATGAGGAAGAATTTCTCTTCTGGCAGAGTGGTGAGGCCTTGGCCCAGGCTGCCCAGGGAGGTGCTGGAGTCCCCAACCCCAGATGGGTTCAAAAAACATGTAGATGAGATACTTTAGGACATGGTTTAGTGGTCATGGTAGTGTTGGATTGATGGTTGGACTTGATCACCTTAGAGCTCTTCCCCAACCTTAATGGTTCTATGGAATTGGGCAAGGTCCTTCCTCACCTCTTGGAGGAGTCACTGCTGTCGTGTCAGCACGTGGTTACTGGAAGGGTCTCTGCTACCAGAGGACTCCACCCAGGGCCAGCATCAATTTTTTTGTGTTAAAAAACATGGAGAACACCAGGATGTGCACTTGTGACACTGAGACAGGGGCAAACACAGCAGAGGAACACGTTCCAGCAGCACGTGTGCCAGAAAACAGACACACAGCACAGACTGATCTCCAGGCCTCACCACGGCAGCAGAGCCAGCCCCTGGCTCCCAGAACCACCCAGGAGGCCAAGCAGGGCCCAGCTCACACTCCCAGCTCCCTCCAGCTCTGGGGAACAAGGCATGGAGCTGCCAGGCAGGACGCCAGCCACTGCTTGGGTACATGCTAGACTACAGCTGTCCCAGGCCCAGCTCCAAGGATCTCAGCAACCCTGCTGTGGTTCAACCACCCTCCTGTTGAGCAACACGTGCTCTGGGGCACCACACTCCAGTCTTCATCCCAATTAATGGTGCAGGAGCTAATGGAATCCGAGGGCAGAGTCAGGATACTGCAGTGGGTACTACAGCACCGAGCATGGAGAACCTCAACACGAGGGCTGCCTCAGGCTCCAGACCCCGAGGGCAAGTCAGAGGAGACAAACAGGGAGGACAGGGCAATGGGGCTGTGGCTGGAGCCACCTCTGCAGCTCTTCCTGCCCCAGGAGCCAGCAGGAAGCTGCCCTGCCCGGGGAGCTGACACCACAGAGCCTCACCTGGAAAGCGTTGTTCAGCCAGAGCACAGAACAGGAGGTTATCCTCCCAATCCGATGCAGGTTGCCAGAGATCAGGTTGGTTTCGTTCAGCCAGCAGCCAAACACATCATAGGGTTTATTCCTCACCCTGGAAAGCAGCGTGAAGTTCTCTGGAAGGCAGGAGAAAGACGAGCGTGAGGCCACGGCTCCTGGCAGAGGCCCTGGAGGAATCCTGGCAGGAGAGGTGGGGAGTGGATGAAGCCCTGCAGGAGAAGTGCTGACACAGCAGCTCCAGCACCAGCTGGGCAGAGGCTGCCCACCCCAGTGCAGCTGCCAGAAGCCAGATTATCCCTCTCTTCTAGAGCTGTGTGGACGAGAGGAAGCAGGATGAGAAGCAGCCAGAGCAGGGAGCCACCCGACCTCCCGGCCGTGCTCCCAGCGTGGCCCAGAGCAGAGCCCCAAGGCCCAGAACGAGTCAAACACGTCCAGCACTCCTCCTCTCCCACCCCTGGGGCTCGGGGCCCTGAGAGCAAGAGCTGGGCACTCAGAGCACTCCTCTTTCTGGCAGAGTGGGAAGTGAGAGAGAACACTGCTGGGCTGAGCCTGCTCCAGGGAGGTGCCTCAGAGAGTCACACGGGAGCTCGGGTGGGACAGCACCTCCTGAGGCACACACAGGGGCTCTAAGACAACAGCAAACGTGGGTGACCTGTGTCCTGCCCACACTGGGCCTTGGAATGGGAGCTGAGGGGGAGCACAAACCCCCCTGGAGCCAAGGCCACCCTGAGGGCTCCCCATGGAGCTGGGCTCAGGACCCCTTCGTGTGAGGGGCAGGACAAGCAGTGGCCAGGGACACGGCAGGCCTGGGGAGCAGGGGAGGCCCAGAGAGCAGGGG